AACACACCAGGATATCATTATGATCATTAATTGTTATACTGTGCTATAATACAGTGATGACCTTGTGAGATCTTCTGGTGTGATGAGCCTTTTATCCCTAAACTAAATAGCCAAAAGTCCACTCTCAGCTTCCTGATATGGTCTTCTCCATCTTTAGCACTGAATATAACCACATGTTGATATCCAGAAAGATTTCTATGATCGTTTCTTGTTTTATGAATGGCAAAATAGTTAAATAATAAAGGAAATATTCTAACCCTGGTCTCAGTGTGCTTGCTTCTAGACGATATCCCTTTCCTTTAAACTATTATGGTGGAAAAACCAGAAAGTGTAAAAATCAGAAATATGCATTAAATAAGGCTTTTGATTTAAGTCAGTAGGTGCAGGGTAATGACTTTTCATATAAAGTAAATCTTGATGATATCTACTTTTCTAGCCCTGACCCCTTTCATATAATTCTAAGTTAGCAGCCATTATCCAAAAGATTCAGGATATCAGTCAGGCTACAGCTATGTGAGGTATTGTTATTTTTCTTTACTCATGTTTTTAGCACTTATGATAAACAAGTAGATTTTTTATATAGGCCTCCACTTCCCTGGATACTTTCAAGGTTCTTCCTGCTTACTATGACATTGATAACCAGCTAACTTTTCTAAGTAAATAAAGACACATAAAAAATTATCCCAGTACACATGTTGTTCTACACTCTAATCAACAATGAATGGAAGACATAGAAAAGTTCTATTTCACTGTTTCAAAATAAATATTCGGGACCAGCAGATGGTGCAATGGCTATGGTGCTGAATTCCCATGTAGTCGACCAGGGTTCGAGTCCTGGACCCTTAGCTTAAAACTCACGCCAGGTGCATGCGCATGCATTTTAAAGATTCTAAGAAGAGAATGGAGGAGAAGGGATGTGGTGTAGCCATTCCCCTGGGGGGTGAGTTCTCACTTTTTGTCTCTCTGTATCTCCTTATCTCTCCAGGGGGTACATGCATCCTATATCAAAAAATTCTATAAATAAATTAATAGATAAAATTAACCTTCTAGGGAACCAGCAGTTAGCGTAATGGCTATGTCGCTGGACTCCCATGTAGTCGACCGCGGTTCGCGTCTCGGACCCGGTGGCTTAAATCTCATGCCGGGCGCGTGTGCGTGCGTGCCCAAGATCCCGAGAGGAGAATGGAGGAGAAGGGATTGCGGCATGACCATCCCCCCTGGGGGGTGATTTCTCGCTTTCTGTCTCTATGTCTCTCTCTGTCTGTCTGGCGAGCGCACACAACCTATAGCGAAAACCTCTCCCAAAAAAAAAAAAAAAAATTAACCTTCTACCATCAATATTTTACTTCCTTACTTTGAGGAGTTCCAAAACTGGAACTGAAGATGACCAGGAACTGAAAATGAGATGTTTTTCTCTGTACTCCAAATGTATCAGTTCAGTCATTAGAAACAATTAAATTCAACTCTTATACTCAGAGAAACCAGGTGCCTTGAAGTATCAAAAATACCTCTCAAGGGTCACAGTGTCCACTATATTGTAGTCAAAAATATTCATCAACACACAATAAGATATGATAAAGGTAGAAAATATTTTATTACTGTTTTCAGTAAAGTCTGATTTTATTGTTGCTGAGAGCACCTTCTGTTGTAAATCTTTCTTGGCTGTTTCTGAACAATGTCAGTAAGTTGTACCTTTTTGTACTGAATGACATTTAGTATTATGTAAGTTATAATCTATATCTAACATTTTAGAAGCTAAGCTTTTGCAGAAAATCATAGAACATTAACTGTTATGGGAAAAAAATGCTAGTTACCTAGAATATGTGAACATAGATTAAAAAATCAAATGCAAGTTCAAAGACTGTTCACATGCTCACATCACATTTACAATTTTGTGACAATAATGCATAAGATCACAGAGCATATCCTGATGAGTCTCCAGTGTACTGAACTGTAAATGATAGTTAATATTTAGGTGCCTGATAGTTGGATGTTCTAAATATCTAGACTAAAACTACATGAATGATTATACTATATGACTGATACATTTCAACCTATCCAACACATGTCATTTGAAGAAAAAAAAACTGTTCAAAATGTTTTAAAACACTGAATCTCAGGACCAGCAGTTAGCGTAATGGCTATGTCGCTGGACTCCCACGTAGTCGATCGCGGTTTGCATCTTGGACCCAGTTGCTTAAAACTCACGCCGGGCGCATGTGCGTGCGTGCCCAAGATCCCGAGAGGAGAATGGAGGAGAAGGGATTGTGGCGTGGCCGTCCCCCTGGAGGGTGATATCTCGCTTTCTGTCTCTCTGTCTCTGTCTGTCTGTCTGGCGAGCACCACCGTCCTATAGTAAAAAAAAAAAAAAAAAAAACCTCTTAAAAAGAAAAAAACACTGCTGAATCTCTCTCTCGGAGGGAGACATTTAAAACTGTGTCACCTTTATTTTTTTCTTTTTATTTAATTTTCATATATATATATAAACATGTACACAAACATTATGACAATTCAAATTTTTTCAACATAAATATATAATTTTCCATTTGCTCCACTGAATATATCTAACAAGTCTGGTGTAGCTGGAAGAATAGTGAAGAAGTAGAAAACCCTGGGATTTGATCTCTGTCTGTGGTGTCCCCTCTGGGTTCACCTTAACAGCTGTGAAGCTCCCCAGACAAGACCCTCTTCCTTCCAGGCTCCAGTGCTAGTCAGAACAGAATACATCCAGGTATCTCCATCTCTGCCTATGCTGTCCCTTCTGGGTTCAGCTTTGAGGCTATCAAGTTCCCCCAGTCAGACCCACCCCACCCCCCAGACCTTTCTCTTGCTAATTTTTCTCTTTTCCTTCACCTAGGACAGAATTCATCCAAGCATCTCCATTTCTGCCTCAAGCGTGCGTCACATGGTTTTATATTTTTAAGCCAATTTTATTTTCTGCAGTGTAAATTTTGTTTTTTTCTCCTCTTTTTTCTAGTTCTTTCCTTCTTTTTCCATTGCTTTTCCTTCCTTTTTCTGTTTCCTACTTTCTTTTTCTTTTACCTTACTTTCCTATTTTACTGCTCAGCCCTTACCCACACTACCTAAAGAAGTCTAGGTGCATAGTAGCTAAATATCTGAACATTGTGAGTTTTAGAGAATGCTTTGCCCCTCACTATACTGGTTGTAAAAAGAGGGAAACTCCCCTTCATAAATCCGATTTCAAAACTACTCCAGTGATTCCCACATTAGAGGACACAGTAGAAGGGAAAAAATAGCACCGAATTATTTCAAAGTAAGAGAAACACACAAGCTCACAGTTACAGAATTCTTCTCCAACAAATTAGCCAAAAGGGAATTCCTCAGATAAGAGACTGATAATCAGAAAATACAGGGAACTCAAGCAGCTTACCCAGAACAAAATGATTAACCCAATTATAAGATGGGAAAAAGAATAAATAATTCTCTAAGGAAGATATACTTACAGCCAAAAAGCATACAAAAAAAATGCTCAACATCCCTCATCATAAGAGAGATGCAGATCAAAACCACAATGAGATACCACCTAACCCCAGTCAGAATGGCAAAGATTAATAAAAACAAAAAATGATAAATGCTGACAGGAATGTGGTAAAAGGGGAACTCTCCAACATTGCTGGTGGGAATGTAAATTGATCCAGCCATTGTGGAGAACAATATAGAGGTTCCTCAAAGACCTTCAAAAGGAACTACCATATGATCCAGAAATCCACTCCTGGGTATTTACCCAAAGGACAAGACAATGCTCAGTTCAAAAAGCACTTGCACTACTGTATTTATTGCGGCATTATTCATGATTGCTAAGATATGGAACCAACCCAAATGTCCACAAAATAATTAATCGATTGAAAAAGTGTGGCACATATACTCCATGGAACACTATTCAACTATAATGAACAAGTTTTTCCAGTTTTCCCCTGGCATTTGATAGAAAGTAGACATGGAAGATTTACTGCTGAGTGAACCAAGTGAGACTATGAAACAGAGACATTGTATGGCTCCACTTAACATGTACCGACTATCTACATTCTATGGTAGAGACTGAAAGACTGGAGGACATAAAAGCATTGAAAATTGTTATGGACACTGGGGACAAAATGTAAGAGAATGGTAGACAGAGGCAGGAAGGGAAATTTGGAGAAAAATGGAGAAGTAAGGAATTTGGGGGACACAGTTATGGTTTCTTGCCTGCTGTGTGGCACATATCATGTTGGGTAAAATCGCTTTACAAACTAAATGATGTATAGTGATTGAATGTATAAATAATAAATAACAATAATAATAATAATTTTCTTGAGAGGTTTTTTCTATAGGGCACGTGCGCTCGCCAGAAAGACAGAGAGAGACAGAGAGACAGAAAGTTAGAAATCACCCCCCAGGGGGGACGACCACGCCTCAATCCTGGCTCCTCCATTCTCCTCTTGGGCACGCATGCACAAGCGCCCAGCGTGAGTTTTAAGCCACCGGGTCCGGGACTCGAACCACGGTCAACAACATGAGAGTCCAGCTACATAGCCATTACACTAACTACCGGTCCCAATAATAATTTTTTTAAAAAAGATGAAAAAAAGAAAAAACCCTGGGATTTAGTTTTGGTTTAAAAAAACTCTTTAGCTTAGATATAGCTTTGCCATTTACCAAGCAATGTGACCTTCAGCAATTACTTCATCTCTCTGAGCTCCAGGGAAAATTCTATAAAAAATGCAGATAATACTATATTCTTCATCCTAACACAGGATTGTTGTAAAGATCAAATAACATAATGTATTTGAAAGGACTTGGTAAAATTGTAAGGCACTGACAAGTTATTGTTATTATCACTTAAACATGGAAAACTGAAATTTCAATTAAAAACAGACCAAATCTATATATCAATTTGACTTGTAGCAAACAATGCCATGTAAATCCTTATTGTTGGCTTCTGAAGAAGTGTGAACAATAAGTTATTAGCTTAATTTATCTTTAATTAATGCTTCTCATACCTGGCATAACAAAATACTTCCACATGTTGAATGGTTCTGTCCTTCTTGCTAAGAGTGATGGCTTCTTCATTTTCAAGGATCTGCTCTTGCCATGTTAGATTTTCATTCACATCGTCACTATTTTCCTAAAAAAAAAAAAACAAAAAAGGAAAGTTTTTAATTAAACTGAGCAATCTGAACCTATAATTTTCTGAGAAAATTTATATCTAAATTCATACTTTTCCTTTCATTCCATCAAAACTCAAAGATAGTTATCACTTCAGAGTCACTGAACCAACTCCAACAAAGTGTGTCAACTTCAGTTTGACTTGTCACAACCAACGCCACGTAAATCCTTATTACGAAAGTGAAGCAAAGAAAACAATGAATAAAATCTATACCATAAGCTACCAACAGGTTATATTTTTGTTGAGGCACTTGACTCCCATATGGCCAACCACAGTTTGAGTTCCAGACCCAGAAGCATGAAAATCATATGGGGCGTGTGTGTGTGTGTGTGTGCCTAGAATCCCGGGTGGAAAATGGAAGAGAAGAGATTGTGCCATGGTCGTCCTCATTACAGGATGATTTGTCACTTTCCCTCTCACTGTTTCTCTGCCCAAGCAAATGTGCACTTAAAAAAAACCTTTAAAAACAAAACAAAACTATACTATTGATAACTAACTCTAGTTTATATTAGTAGATCTACATCAGGATTGGGACATTCAGATAAGGCTATTTTGACATTGCTTGAGAATCAGGACAACTAATTATCTACATGTGAGGATAAAGCATATTTAGTGTATGAATTTTTGTGGGTTTTTTTGGTTTTGTTTTGTTTTATTTTTAGGTTTTTGCCATAGAGTGTGTGTGTACATCAGAGGGAGAGGGAGAGATAGTGAGAGACAGAGAGACTGAGAGAGGGAAAGTGAAAAATCATCCCCCAGTGGGATACTCATACTGCATTCCCTTCTCCTCCATTCTTCTCTTGGGAGTTTGGGCATTCACACAGTGCAACCATTGTGACTGTCAAGCCATTGCTTGGGTTCTGGGACTCAAACCATAGTTGGCCATGTGTGGGTCCAACGCATTAACCACTACATCACGTGCTGGTCCCTGTATTACTTGTTAATAACAGTTTTCATAATACTTAGATGTCAATATATCAGGCTCAAAATGAAGCCCTTTATTCTTGTATTTTAATTTTTTTTTATTTTTTCATTTCATTTTCTTTTATACATTCAATCACATTATTATTTGGCTTATAAGATGGATATTTCAAAAGGTGAACATTTCTCCCTAGTACACTTGATAAAACTACAAAATATCTTCAACAGATAATACCACATTTATTTGTACTCTTAATGCTTTGCCTCCCTATTTTTCTTCTAAATGTCCTTCTTCAGACCCTCCTCTTTCACACACACTTTATCTGGCATTTACATCTATATACTGTGCTTCTATATCCTTTAGTCAATTAGTTTCAGTCATAGAATGTGGACAATCGGTATATATTAAGTGGAGATATACAATTCTTCTCTTCCATAGCCTGGCTTGCTTCACTCAGCAGTAAATCTTCCATATCCATCAACTCACTTTAAGATATTTGAAGATTGGTAACTAGTCATGTCAAATATTGATTATATATAAAAGTATTTTTGAAATGTACATAGCACAAGATAACTCAGGACTTTATAATATCAATACCTGAATACTTTATATCCAGAAAGACAATAAAAACAAGAATGTGTAATAAATTATATAAACTTTCACCAACAGATGAAATTGGCCCCTTAAATTTTTCAGTAATTCTTAATTACATTATCTGGAGAAAATTATATGATATAGTAACATATAGGCAATTCTTAAATATAGATAGAGATATACACACACACACATATATATAGTTACATATATGTATGTGTGTATGTATATGTATACATACATATGTATCTATATATATGTGTGTGTGTATATGTATATGTATATATATCTATAGATAGATAGATGAATAGATAGATAGATAGATAGATAGATAGATAGATAGATAGATAGATAGATATAGGGTCATCAGGAAAGGCATGACGCATTTTTGCATGGAAAAACAAAGGAAAATATGTCATGATTTTCCCAGTAACCTAATATTACCTTTTCAAAATGTCAAGGATCAATTTTTGGGACCAGCAGTTAGCGTAATGGCTATGTCGCTGGACTCCCATGTAGTCGACCATGGTTCGTGCCCCGGACCCGGTGGCTTAAAACTCATGCCGGGCACGTGTGTGTGCATGCCCAAGATCCCGAGTGGAGAATGGAAGAGAAAGGATTGCGGCGTGGACATCCTCCCAGGGGGATGATTTCACACTTTCTGTCTCTCCGTCTCTCTCTGTCTGTTTGGTGAGCGCATGCGCCCTATAGCAAAAAACCTCTCCAAAAAAAAAAAAAATGTCAAGGATCAATTTTTAACCAGTTTAAAATTTTAAGTGATTTAATAAACATATATGTCAGAGGAAACTTTTTGAAAATGTACTATATATACTCAAGGAACTAGTAGCAGAATATAAGTACAATATATTTTAAGTAAATTAATCAAAGGAAATTTCCAAACTTACAAATTTCATAAAGCAGGGCAATACTTATTTTTAAAATGTTTTGTTGTCCTCAATTAACATGTTAGCCTGAAGTAAAATAGTGGCAAACAGCTTTTACCATCAAGTTTAATATTAGATAGTTTAAAGGGTCTTCAGAAAATTTCTGGAAAATGTGTATTATGAAAATACTATACATGGATTTCAAGATTTTTTTACACACCCAAATAAACTTGTACTTTAACTCTATTTTTCCACAAACTTTTGAAGTCTCCTCATAAAATATCCTACCATAAGCAGAAGATAATGTGAAGTACAAGAATTTTCGATGTAGGGACCAGCAGTTAGAGTAATGGCTATGTCGCTGAACTCCTCCTATGTAGTCGACCGCGGTTCGAGTCCCGGACCCAGTGGCTTAAACTCACACCAGGTGCATGTGCATGCATGCCCAAGATCCTGAGAGGAGAAGGAATTTCGGTGTGGCTATCTCCCCTTGGGGGGTGATTTCTTGCTTTCTATCTCTCTGCCTCTCTCTGTCTTTCTGGCAAGTGCACAGGCCCTATAGCTATAATCTCTCAAAAAAAAAAGAAAAAAACAACTTCCCAATGTGTAGATGTGGGGTTACCAGTCTAAGAAAATAACTATAAAAAAAAAAAGAGAGTGATAGGAGAATATATACAATGACAGAATCAAGACCCTAGAGTAAAACAAGTATTAAAATACAAGAAACTTCTGGGACCAGCAGTTGGCACAATGGCTATGTTGCTGAACTCCCATGTAGTTGATTGTGGTTCGAGTCCTGGACCTGGTGGCTTAAACTCACACTGGGCACGTGTGGGTGTGTGCCCAAGATCCTGAGAGGAGAATGGAGGAGAAGGGATTGTGGCGTGGCCATCAATCCTGAGGGGGGATTTCTCGCTTTCTGTCTCTGTCTCTCTCTCTGTATGCACTATAGCAAAAAACTCTCAAAAAAAGGAAAAAAAAAATACAAGAAACTTCTAAAAAGACATTTTTATTTAAATAAATCTAACCCATTACCAAAATCTATTTTTGTAAAATCCTTTATTCATCAAGTTTTCCAGACAACTAGAATTTATCTGGCTATTTTGTTGGTATTGTTGTTCTAAGAATCTAAACTAGTTCTTCTTTTTTCAAAGAATTACTTACTTAATTTTTATGTAAAGTACAAGAACTTTACATAATATCCTATCCATTAAAAAAATTACTAAATTCATATTAAATTTTTTACAGGGTATGCGTGCCCACCAGAGAGAGAGAGAGAAGGAAAGTGAAAAAGCAAGTCACCAGGCATGGGACTCAAACCATAGTTGGCCATGTGGAAGTCTGGTACCTTAACCATCATGCCTTCTGCTGGCCCCCATAGTCTAAATTTTTTTTGTTTTGTTTTTATGAAAGTACTAAATACACCTAGATATAAGGTGACCTTCATACACACTTCCCAAGGATAAGGTCCAAAAAAAGGGTGTCTCATCAACTTAAATGTGAATATTTTAGGCATATAGGAAAAACAGTTAAATGTCTACTTATCATATTTACTCTCTTGGCTACACATGGTTTAAATTATTTTTATGACACACTACTTTGCTTGTTTCTCCACATTATCATTTTATGCAATGACATTCAAATTGCATTTCAACATCAATGTCTCTGTCATGAGAACCAGTTTTGAGACATATATACCATTAAATCAATCACTATAACTACAATGCTTAGTATGGTGCTTGACACACTGTAAGTGCCTAATAAGCCTAAGCTATTTTATTCATAGCAACAGAATAGAATTTTCTGTAACTTATCACCTTCTTTCCCAGTAGTCTCAACTCTTAACATATAGCAGTTTCTGATTCCATGTATGATGCTCTCAACAGGAATTTCATAATTTTTTTCAAGCACATATACCTATTCACATAAAATTATGAGTTTTAAAATTTTGTCTTATAAAAATTGGTAAATTCCATAACACAACCACTCCCCATGTTGTCCTCTAAGTGAGATCTAAAAAGATTGTTTACAATGGTATTCAACAGCTATAGTACTAATATCCTATCCATTGAAAAAAAATTACTGAATTTATAGTATATCTTTCTCTGCTTTTTCTTTTTACTGATTTTGTCACATGATCTCTATAAACATGCAAAATCATGACTGACTGAAATAATTTCAAATTAATGTGTCTTTCTCAAGGAGTTTTTTTGTTCAAAATATACTAACTGAAAGACTAACTAGTAATATGTGAGATTTTACAAGGATAGGAATATTGTTTCCAATAGATGAGTTTTTGGGGAAAAAAAATCTTGCCATATATTTGAGCATACAGGCAGGAAATGGTATCAAGTATATATGATTTACCCTTCAGCCAACATATCTATTTATATTTTAAAAGTGTTATCTAGGGAACCAGCAGTTAGCGTAATGGTTATGTCACTGGACTCCCACGTGGTCGACCGCGTTTCGCATCCTGGACCCGGTGGCTTAAAACTCACGCCAGGCACATGTGCGTGCGTGCCCAAGTTCCCAAGAGGAGAATGGAGGAGAAGGGATTGCGGCGTGACCATCCCCCCTAGGGGGTGATTTCTCGCTTTCTGTCTCTATGTCTCTCTCTGTCTGTCTGGCAAGCACACGCGCCCTATAGCGAAAACCTCTCAAAAAAAAAAAAGTGTTATCTATATCATAAGGAAATCAGAAAAATATTAGCTGAAAAAACTACTTTTCAGATTTCTTATTCAATGTAAGTGAATAAAAATAAGCTGTAAATCCTGTATGACAGATGAAGCTTAGATTTTCATTCATGTAGGATTATTATGTGACACAAAATATAACCTAGTGCACTAAAAGATCAGATAATATCTTTACCTGATATTCTTTTATCCAGGACAACAGTCCTGAAAAGCTAAAACTGGCCCAGTTTCCTCCATAGTAGCTTCTTCTGTAACAACAAGAGAAAAAAAAGAAAAAAAGAGTAAAGAAATGGGTATATATCATGTCACTAATCTTCAGCAATAACTCATCTTTGACCCTTAAATTCATTTCATTTTCTAATATTGCTGCTGAAGAACTCAAAAGCACACATAACTGGGACACTGACACAAGAGAAAATGGCACACTGGAATAAAAGTGAGTTTCTCAGATCTCAAAGGCAAATTTTCATTGCATAAGTGCATAAGAAGTTTAAAAAAATCTTTGGCCTCTTAGAACCTTCTCCACTGATCATGTGAACAACTAGACACAGGCACTAAGTAACATGAACTTTTAATGATTCCTGGTAACAAAAACAGCTAGGAAAAAAATCTTGATAGATCTCAAAGAAAGTCAATGGAAATCTAATAAGTTTCTGTAAGCATTAAATCTCCACTACCACCAAACTCATTTCCCACATTAAAACACACACATATACATACGTACACACAATTGGCTACTCTAGATAAAATGGAAAGCCCTGTGCTATTCTTAGCCTTCAGGGACCAGAATTGAAGTAAATTCCAAGACAGTTATTCACATCAAGATTTCGTTAATATTTCTAAGAATTATTTTATTTAACTTTATTATTATTATTATTATTAAAATTTGACCAGAGAGAGACAGAGACAAAGATGGAGAGAGAGAGAGTGAGAAAGCAAGCTGCCAAGTTTTGGACTTGAACCGTGGTCAGCCATATAGGAGTCCAGCACCTTTAATGACCATGCTACCTGCTGGTGCCTCACATCAAGATTTCTAAAAGTAAAACAGAAACAAAATTATCACTGATAATTTTTAAAAATTAAACAAAAATAAAACCTTTACTATGATTTTCGAAATTACTTTATCATAATCAACTGTGGACATAGCCTGAAGAACAGTGAAATTTGAGGCTCAAGTATGTTATCAAATAATCACTGCTTTGCTCTAACAGACAAAAAGAATAAATCAAACACCTGAGAAAGTAGGCGTTATAGGTGACTACTTTACTTATATCTGATGTCTCTCTCAGGGATGATGTAAATTCATATGCCGTTCAAAATTTCCAGTGGGATTTAGAATTTCAGTTATATTAACGATTCTAGATAGCTACCTCTTGGTGAAATGTTGGAATAAGGAAGCTGAAAGCTATGACCCCTTGCATTAATAAGGACAGTGAAGGAAAAGGTAGGCAATGATAGAGATAGAGAATATGGGGAAGAAAAAGAGAGGAATGTGAGAACTGGTGGTTCTTCCACAGCAATTTATACCCTATTCTCCCTTATCTGAGAATAATACACTTCTGTTATCTATTCTTATCCTGCAAATGTTAACATACAACAAAACTATCTTTCCTGAGGGGAGGAGCCCTTAAGCCATGTTTCTATATTTTTGTTGAGATATCTAGATTTCTTTGAATCATCATAAGGTCATAGTAGCACTGACTAATTGGTAGCAGCTTCAAGATCAAAGTAAAATGTTTTGAATGGATACACCAATTTATAAGTAATAAATGTCAAAAATCTAACATGGAGAGGGTATATGAAGGTTTCTGAGGTCACAGAAAGTAATAAAAAACCTACAGATAAATTAGATTTTCATCAAAATTAAAAACTTATCAATAAAATCTATAATTTAAAAAAATGAATTGACCAGGCATAAACTGGGGGAAAAAAATTCACAAAGCACATCTAACAAAGATTGGTACACATGATAAAGAACTCATTCATCTTAATAAGATAAATATTAAAATTTTAAAGTGAGTAAAGAGTTTGAACAGACACTTCACAGAAGATGTGGTTAATTATCAGATGAAAGGTGCCCAATAATTAGTCCTTAGTTAAGTGCACACTAAAATAAGCAACGGAAAATCAGCATAAAGAGGGCCAGCCCAGTTGCATAATGGTAACTCACTGCTCTAGTAATGCTGAATCCATATGGAAGGTCATAGGTCTGGTTTCCTGGTCAACCTGTACATGCCAGCAAGTCTGCAGGGAGGGATAAAGTTCATGGCATAAGGTCCTTGATGGGGCTGCCTGTCTATTTGTATATGTGTATAAGTCTCTCTCATGAAAAAGAAAATGAGCATGATGAGATCTAGGACAGTTAAGAATCCACCAGGAGAGTTAAAAAGAAAGGCAATACCTGGGTGTGATGAGGATGGTCAGAATGCTCATATATTTTAGTAGGAGTGTAAAATGGCACAAACACTGGAAGAGTATCTAGTAGTTTCTTACAAAACTATGCATACACCTACCCTGTGATCCAGTAATTCTATCTGTAGGCAATTATGCACATGAAAAACATACATTCACCAAAAACATGTACAATTTTTTTCACAGCAGCTTAATTCATTAATAGTCTCAAAATGATAACAATCCAAATATAGTCATCCCCTGGTATCAGTAGGGAATTGGTTCCATGATCCTGGTGAATAGCAAAATCTGAGGATGTTCAAATACCTTATAAAAAATGGCATAGTACTTACAAAAAACCTATGCATATCCTCCCATATACTTTAAATCACATATAGGCTACTTAAAATACCTGATCTAGTGTAAGTGCTATATAAACAGTTATTTTATTGTTCAGGGAATAGTGACAAAAAAACTGTACATATTCAGTACAGTTACAACCATTATTGGCCTAATCACATAGTACATAGAAATAATGTAATATTTTCAGTCTACAGCAGGTTAAATCTGCAGATGTGGAGCCTGCAGATATAGAGGGCACCAGAATCCATCAATAGGAAAATATCGTAGATAAGCAAGCTGTGGTACATCCATAGGATAGATACTATTCATCAATGAAAAAGAATAAACTACTGATATATAAACAACATAGATGAATCTCAAAAACATTATGATGAGTAAGTCTTAGCCAAAGAGTACATGCTATATGATTCCATTTATATGAAATTCTAGAGCAAGCTAAATTAGTCTATATATATAAAAAAAAAAAGCCTATGATAACCGTAAGAGTGGTTGTCTTTGAGGATAAGGAACATGGTATCAGGACTTGACTAAGAAAGAGCATAAGAGAACTTTCTGAACTGACAGCAGTGTTATTTATCTTGATTTTTTTTGTTCTTGTTTTGTTTTGCTTTGTTTTGTTTTCTTTTTATTGTCAATGAGCATGTGGACTCACCAGAGAGAGTGAGAAAATACTCCTCCAACGGAATTTGGTCATGCTGCAATCTTTTCTCCTACATTTCTCCATCCCATCAGGATTCTGTGTGTACACACACACACACACACACACACCTGGAATGTTTTTCAAGCAACCGGGGCCATGATTTGAACCACAATCGGCCATGTGGGACCTGGCATTCTGTGCCCAACACTTAACCACTATGCTATGGAGTCAGCCCTTAACAAGGTTTCTATATTAACAAGTGGATGCATTTGTCAAAATTTATCAAGTGCTTGGACCAAGTAGGTGGCATAGTAGTTAAGGCTATTGGATCCCACATGGCCAACAGCATGGTTTTAGGCCTGGATCCAGCCACTAGAAAATCATGCCAGGTATGTGCGCATGTGTGCCCAAAATCCTGAGAGGAAAATGGAGGAGAAGGAATTGTGGCATGGCCATCTCCCCTGGGAGTGATTTCTCACTTTCCCTTTTCCTCTCTCTTTCTCTCTCCAGCAAGCATCTGCAACTTATAGCAAATTTAAAAATAGAAAATAAAAAATCAAATGCTACACTTAGAATCTGTGTATTTCACTGAATGTAAGTTTTCTCTCAAAAAAGAAACCTAAACAAATATTTAACTCTAGTTGGTTATATATATGTTTAAGTGTTCAGGACTAAAAATTACTATATGTGTAAAACTAACTTTGAAATATGTAACACCTTACAACAATAAGATAGAATACAGGATTGGTAGTAGAATGAAGACATGGACAGTGATGTGATAAAGCAAATATACAAAAATATACATTGTAAAATCTAGGCAGTGGCTACATAGGTGTTCATGGTATAATTTCTTCGGCTTTTCTTTAAGTTTGAAAATTACAGTAAAATGTCAAGAGAAGCAAAATTAATCAAAGATGAGTTTTCAAATGCTAACCATGATGTGGCAGTTTCCAAGGTATTTCTGCTATTATAAAAAACCTAAAAAAACTTGAAGAGGGCCATCTTGCTGTTTCTTTCCATTATTAAATGACTTGAGGTCAGTTCATGGTCAAAATCTATTTTTCTCCTCTATACTTGGTCATATGGTTTTTGACATAGCTAATTAGTTCTAGTATTTTTCCATGCAGCTCTTTTCAACTTTTCCTGATGATGTGTTCTTAACATCAGCATCTGGTGATCTCATCTAATTATGTATGTACAAGGTAAAACATGGTTTTCATTGCTATGGTCTTTTGGACAAAAGAGAGTAACATAATTATTAGTATACCCACTATAAAACCAGTACAGATTCAACTAAATTCATTTTGCTATTTGTATGGTTCTAAATATGGTTTATAATATCCCTTAACAACAATGCCAAAGACAATAGGTCTCAAAATCAATATGACAAAAAGAAAAGGAAAAAAATCAATATGACATTCTAATGTGGTTTCTGGAACAATATTGTACTGAAATAGCAAAAACTCAAAGCTTACAAAATATGTTCTCAATTTTATCTTTAAAGATATAATTTTAGAATTCTGACATTCAAATTGAACTTATAAAATATTATTTCTACTGTCTTTAAACTGCTTCTGTAGGGAATAATAAAGCTAGTTATTGGTTTTGTTTTTAAAACCTCTAAGACAGGATTTATTTTAAGGATAAAGTGAAAACGTCCTAACTTTAAAAAAGATAGAAAAAAGGGTATGGCACATTTTCTGCCAATTTTGTGTCACAAGTGCCTCTGTACATCAAGTAAAGGAAGAAGTATTTTATGATGAAGGAAGTTTATCTCTATTGTCAGGAACACTATTTCATATGATGAAAAAAGACTTCCTTAAAACTAGTTTTCTTATGGAACTGGAAAATGAG